ACAATTAAATGCAATTCTATCTTCTCTTACGTTTGGTTCTTTTTCTGATATATATATATATATATATGGAGATTCTGTCTTAAGATTGTTAGAAAAAATAGTACCAAAGTATAAAGAAAATATAATGTAAAATTATATAAACACTTTTTTGGGCAAAACCAAAAACTCAAATATATCAACGTAATAACGTGATAAAACTTACAGTACGTAAACAGATAAAACCTGATCGAGTCGAGTGTGTGACACCCTTTTCTTAAGACAGATTCATCCTCCCACTAGTGCTTAGGATTCAATGGACGTCTATCTCGATACAACGATCAATGTCTTGCACTAGCAGCACTACTATTGCAAGCCTAGCGAACTTTGCTGTGCATGAACTCTCTTTATAGGAAAATTAGACTCAAGAAATATGAAGAATAAATACAAAGTGAAGAAGTATGGCAATTCTCTCTTTTCAAAATGAAGTGAGGGACATGGAATATAAAGACAACTAAGTGACTCTTCAAAAAGGTTGTGATCTTTCAAAAGGACACACCCTTTCATTTCAAGAGACACAACCATTGAAGTAAATTAAATTCAAATTTTCCAACAATGTTATCGTGTTTAGGGTTAGTTTAAGTTTTATTCTGTGGAGTCTTTGTTAGCTCTAGAATATTCTAATTGGTCAAAATTCCTTAAGCTTATAGAAATATGGGAAGTCTATCACCTGTCAAAATTTTGTAACTAAAAAGGCAAAACAAAAACATCAAGCTCTAGACATCCACAATATTATTAAAATATATATATTTAAAGGATCTGGGTTTGTTTACTTTAGTCATTAATAAATAAGTATTGTAAAACTAGGGTCACAATGTACTTCGTTCCTACAAATGAAGAGAATCCACCAAGCCGACGAAATTATCCATGTCAAGTATAACCTTCCCTAAATCTAACTATACCAACAAAAAGAACCTCTCAAGCCTATAAAGGGGTTGTTCAACTCCTCAAAAGGTCTTCCTATTACACTCTCTTCAAATGAGCCACATCAAATGTAATGGAGCTAATCACAAAAGGCCCTCCTCCTCTGCTTCCCCACTCTGCCTCCACACAAACTAAACAAAACAAGACACATGTTTATAAGATTTGTCAAACTGATCAATGAAAACAAAAAAGAAATCAAGATTTTTGGCTTTTCTTTAAGAAAAAAAATAAATTAACCACACATATATGGAGTAGTTCACAGCATTACTTTCCACTCAAGCAGGATATGAAAGATGCAATAAAAGAATATACAATTCTACACCTTTAAAGAAAAAAAGAAAAAGAAAACCAGACAATTCAAGTGAGTCTGCAAATAGCTTGATCCAGAAGAGATGCAATAAAAGAATATACAATACACGTACTTCATTCTTTTTATAATTTATGTCGTCACTGCGCCAAGACACAGCATTTGTCACAGCCATAGGTGGCCTCTGTGTCACTTCCATCCTATAAGCATCGGTCTTAATAAATTCACTTAGAATCTTTGCTTCAGTGTATTGAGGGTAGCCAAAGTCCATCATCTCATCAAGTAGTTCGTACTACCAAATGAAAAAGCATCAGTAAAGCTTCTTCCAAACAATTATTAGTATCACAATCAAAACAAAAGACCTTGATAGAAAAAAGAATTGATAAATTAACTTACCACTACAACAAAGTTATGTCTAAGTGGTTCCTCTTCTAACTCTTCAAAATAATGCTTAAAGACCTGCCAACCAAAACATGTATAATTAAATTTGCAAAACTGATTCATCAAAGAAGTTAATGATTTTTTGTCCTCTCAAAGCATCTACAGGCAGACAGCACCAAAACAGACTTGGTCAACATTTGTCCTCTCGCTTTTATCTAAAAAATGCTACTAAAAAATAATTAACAAACCAACCCCTTCATATCAACCCCAATCAATTGATACAAAAATATCCAAACCATTTAGCCAATTACCCACAGTGATGCATTGGCAGAGTTACCAGCATAAAAATTCCCATTAATCCAAAACAAATGAACACAGATGAGATGATCTTAAAAAAAAATTGAGCTTTCGAAGCAAATTCAGTATCAAAGGAACATCAACTACAGTTTCTATCACTGGCATAGCAATTCAAATCAATCATAAACATTCATGCACACAGTTACATGTAAGTATAGAGAGAGAGAGAGAGCGAGAGAGAGAGAGAGAGAGAGAGAGAGATTT